AAATCCATCAATATCTGTACGAAACCGGAATCCCCGTCACAACCCCGCCGGAACCCTTGCCGTCCGCCGCCGGAAACTCCATCCACGGCCGCGGACAGCTCACCCCGCAGCCCCTCTCCCCTCCGCCGACCACCCTCACCGCCAAATTCACGATGCCGTTCTTCTCACCCCGGCCGTCCCTCAGCCTGTAGCTCAAGAAACTCAGATAATTCTCCGGCAAGTGGCCGCCGCCGAAGTCCGAAACCGGAATTTTCGCCACCCCGACCGTTCTCTCTCCGGCGCGGACCTCGGCGGTGATGAACCGGGATTTTGAGGGTAGGTCCATGACCAGCCGCTCGTTCCATGCAGGGAAGCGGGCCGGGCCGTTCGGGTCGGCCCGACCCGTCTTCCTGGAGTTGAATGGATCAGTGCTGACGATGACGTAGAGATTCTTCGTGGCAGACTGTTTCCGGCCGAGGAGGAGATCCTCGGCGGATATGACGGTGATCTCGATCACCTTTGAAGAGGGTATTTCCATTTTTTATTTTTTATTTTTTTTCCTTGAAAAAATAAATGGGATTGTGCGTGTGTTTGTGTTTGGAGAATATTACGTTGTTTGGAAGTTGAGATGTAAGGATGTTGTGTATATAATGTATATATATATATATAGGTAGAGAGAGAAAAGAGGGAGGAAAGTTGGAAGAAAGGAGAGAGAAAGTGGTGGTGTTGTTCTTCTATATGGTTGGTAGTAGTTATCTTCTGTGAAGAGAATTTTAGTATTTTATAAGCTGACCGTGTGACCTTTGGAAAAAGGGTGGAAAATGGGATTATTGTATATATCTTGATATTTTTAATATTAAAATTCAACCTCATATATTATCTTTTCCAAAAATTCTTGATATTTTTAATGTTAAAATTCAACCTCATATATTATCTTTATTTTATTTTATTATTTTCGTTTTTTGTAAATGAAGCATGCGATTTGATTTTCACTCAATGAAAAGTGACGCGGCAGTCGTTCCATTTACTTTGCAACCACGTGGATAATAATAAATAACCTTTAGGAGTAATTCATCAAATTGTATTTCACAACACGTTTCTTTTTTTTTTTTTAAAAAAAAAATGCTAATGCTTTAGATGAGTTGTTTGTTCTAACGAATAAAATTATGTATACTTTTTAAGTGTTCATTTTTCGAGTTTCGTGTTTATGTCGATTCTTGGTATTTACTTTTCTGAGACTACAAGTGTTAACTTTTCGTGCTTCGTGCTTTTTTTAATTATGTATTATTAGTATAGGGTTATTATTGTAAATTGTTGTTAGTTAGCTGAAATCGTGCTTTGACATATGATAGCATTTTGTGTATAAGTGCTTATGAGTGCTAGAGTATAAAAGGCATGTACATTAGGGTTAGCTAATTCATTCTGTCGATTCACATCTCAAAACACTTTTTCTCTATCAAGCTTTCCTTTGTTCTTCTTCTTCGTAATGTCAGATCTATTTCATAATATGGTATCATTCGCTGGTTTATCGATCGTTCCTTGCTTCCGCATCATTCTCTAAACCAATTCGCTACAAATTTCTTACCCGATTATTCGATTATTCGATTTTTTACCTGATTCACTTGAATCTAGGGTCTCTATTCTTCGATTTGGCTTTGATTCACTTGAATCTCAGTCTTTGGCGTTCTCTATCCACATCTCGCTCCGATTTACGCGATTTACGCGATTTGGCGTTCTCGATTTTTGGCGTTCAGATCTGCAATTTTTGGTGTTTTTTGATCCATACATATACGAGACTCATGGCGACAGAACATCCAACCGATGATCCTACATCACCGTTCTACTTACATCCGAGTGATAATCCTGGTGCTCTCATCATTGCAGAGCCATTTTCGGGTGATAATTACGTTTCATGGTCAAGGGCTGTGTTAATGGCACTCAGTGTCAAGAATAAATCTGGTTTCGTTGATGGTACTATCCCTATCCCTTCCTCTTCTACAAATCCTGTTAGGTATGTTGCCTGGGTACGTGCTAATAACGTTGTTCTCTCCTGGTTGCTGAATTCTGTGTCTAAGGATATTAGACAGTCTTTGTTGTTTTTCACCTCTGCTAAAGATGTTTGGGAAGAGTTGAAATCTCGTTATGCCATTAGTAGTGGTCCTAGGGTTTTCCAAATTGAAAAATCTCTGAGTTCTATGGAGCAAGGTGCCCTAACCATTACTCAATATTACAACTCTTTTAAAACTCTTTGGGATGAATACATTACTTTTAGACCGATTTTCCGTTGTACTTGTGGTGCATTCAATACCTGTACATGCAATATCTTTGATTCTATGATGATTGCCCAACAACAAGATGCTGTTATGAAATTTCTTGTAGGTCTAAATGATTCATATTCATCTCTGAGGTCTCATTTCTTACTATCTAACCCATTACCACCATTATCCAAAGTCTATTCCCTGTTATTACAGGAAGAAAGCCAAAGAACCCTTCAGAATCCTTCTAAAACCATTGATCCCCTTGCTATGTTAGCCAAAACAGTGAAGCCACCTCACAAATACTTTCAAAATACTTCCAATCAACAATCTCAACCTTCATTTCCACCTAGAAAGAAACTCAAATGTGATCACTGTGGTTACAACCACCCTACTGATAGGTGTTACCAGGTGATAGGCTATCCTGCCAATTGGATAGGACCTAGGGGGCCTAGAATACACCCTGATAAATCCTCTAAGTCCAACTGTGTGTCTTCTGTTGATACTTCCATTTCAAACCCTTCCATGACTGACCAACTCTTTAATGAGTTTTTGGATTTTAAAAAGTTTTCAGAACAGAAGCAGACTTCAGGATCATCTTCTAATCCTGTTGCTGCTACTGCTCACACTATGGCTTCCTCTGATTTTTCCAATGGTAAGCCAACTCCCCTTGTATGTCTTTCTCATTCAAATTTTAATAAAAACACCTGGATTTTAGAAACAGGTGCTACAGATCATATGGTTTGTGACATTTCTTTATTTTCAAAACCACCCACCCCAATTTCTATTAAAATAAACTTACCTAATGGGGATTACACTGAGGCTAGCCATGTGGGACAGATAAATCTGGGACCTAATCTTGTGCTCCTCGATGTTCTCCTTGTTCCAAATTTTTCTTTCAATCTAATTTCCATTTCAAAGCTAACTTCTTCTGCTAACTGTATTGTCAAATTTGTTTCTTCTTACTGTGTGATACAGGACCTGAACAACAAGCTGATTGGTTCTGCTGAGGTCAAAGCTGGATTATATCATTTTTCTCTTAAATCATTACATGATGTAAATGCATTAGCATCTGTCACTTCTCATTGTTCTGAAATTTCATCTGTCAATGCAAATGTATCAGACACTTCCACTGTATCTCATGACATATGGCACTATAGACTAGGACATTTATCTTTCCATAAACTTGCAACATTACCTATATGTCCTACATCTTGTAAATCTCTTGCATAGTTACCTTGTGATATTTGCCACTTTTCTAGGCAAAAGAAGTTACCATTTCCTTCTAGCATATCTGTTGCATCTTCTGTGTTTGATTTGATTCATTGTGACCTTTGGGGACCTTTTTCTGTTCAATCTTATGCTGGTCACAAATACTTTCTTACTATTGTTGATGATTTCTCCAGAACTACATGGATTTACCCTTTATGCTCTAAATCTGATACAACTTCTGCATTAGTTCATTCTAATAACTTAGTGCAGAACCAGTTTTCAAAGAAAATCAAATGTATCAGATCAAACAATGGTACTGAATTCCTCATGCATGATTTTTATAAAACCAATGGCATCTTACATGAAACTAGTTGTGTTGAAACACCACAACAAAATGGTAGAGTTGAAAGAAAACATCAACACCTTTTACAAGTAGCTAGAGCAATCCTTTTTCATGCTCATTTACCCCTCACTTTCTGGATTGATTGCATACAAACTGCTGCTCATATTATTAACAGTATTCCTTCAAACATTTTAGGAGGAGTTTCTCCTTTTGAAAAACTTTACAATAAACCACCATCTTTAGATCATTTAAGGGTGATTGGTTCATTGTGCTATGCATCAACTTTACAGTCAAACAGACACAAATTTGCTCATAGATCTTCAAAATGCATCCTTCTTGGATATCCATTTGGTTGTAAAGGATACAAAATTTACAACTTGGATACCAAGAACATATCAATTTCCAGAAATGTGATTTTTTATGAAGATGTTCTCCCTTTTAAATTCCCAAATAAATCATCTTTTGATGCATTCTTTCCTGAACCACCTGAATTTTTCTATGAACCTATACCTCAGAAAACACTACCAAGCCCTACTGATACTAATGCTGCTACTGACACTTCTACACTACAACATATACCTACCCCTTCACCAGATACAAACATTTCTTCTACTTCCTTACCAGTATCAAATCCTGAGACATTAACTACAACCCAAACCCCACCACTCAGAAGATCCACCAGACCAAGAACCACACCTTCATATCTTGATGTCTACCAAAATCCTATTACAAAACAACCATACCCCTCTCAATCAAATCAAACATCTTCTTCTTCACTTATTTCTGGAAAACATATTCCAGGAGCCCCTTACTGCATATCAAATTTTCTTTCTACTCAACAATTGTCTTTTGATCATGCCTGTTTCACTACTTCTATAACTGCAAATGTAGAACCTAAAACTTATAAACAGGCTGCTACTAATCCCCTTTGGCAAGAGGCAATGACTAAAGAATTAGAAGCCTTAGAAAAGACAAATACTTGGATGTTAACTGAATTACCCAAAGGCAAACACTGTATAGGTTGTAAATGGGTATACAAAATCAAATACAAATCTGATGGTAGTATTGAGAGGTATAAAGCTAGATTAGTAGCAAAGGGTTATACTCAAGAAGAAGGTATTGACTATTTTGATACCTTCTCACCTGTTGCTAGAATTACTACTGTCAGACTTGTACTTGCTTTGGCTTCCATTAAATCATGGCATATTCACCAATTAGATGTTAATAATGCATTCTTACATGGTGATCTTGATGAAGAGGTGTACATGCTTCCACCTCCTGGCTATTGTGAACCTTCTGACACTAGGGTCTGTAAACTAATAAAAAGTTTATATGGCTTAAAACAGGCTTCTAGGCAATGGTTCAACAAACTTACTACCTGTTTGATAAATTATGGTTTTGTTCAGTCTTCTGCTGACTGCTCCCTTTTTACTAAATCATCTAATTCTTCTTTCCTTGTTTTACTTGTCTATGTTGATGACATAATTTTGACAGGTAATTCTTTGATTGATATACAAAATGTTAAAACTCATCTAGATGAGTGTTTTACAATCAAAGATTTAGGAAAGTTGAAATATATTTTGGGTATTGAAGTAGCTCAGTCTGAACAAGGCATACATTTATGCCAAAGAAAATATGCCATTGACATTCTTTCTGATACTGGGTATATAGGGTGCAAACCTTCAAAAATTCCAATGGACAGCACTCTCAAACTTTATGAAGCTAAAACTGATTCTACTTTAGTTGATGCTTCTGCCTATAGGAGATTAGTAGGAAGATTATTGTATTTAACTGTAACCAGACCTGATTTATCATACAGCATACAATGTTTAAGCCAATTCATGGCTAAACCTACTTCAGAACACCTAGCAGCTGCACATAAGGTATTGAGGTATGTCAAAGCTACAGCTGGACAAGGTATTATCCTTCCTAGATCCTCCTCTTTACATTTAAATGCATTCTCTGATAGTGACTGGGCTTCTTGTCCAAACAGCAGAAAAAGTATCACTGGTTTTGCTATTTTTTTGGGAAATTCCCTCATTTCATGGAAATCTAAAAAGCAAACCACTGTTAGCAAATCCTCCGCTGAGGCTGAGTATAGAGCTTTAGCCTCTACAGCCTGTGAAGCTCAATGGATTTTATATCTTCTTGCTGATTTAAAAGTTCCTCACACACAACCTGTTTCCATGTTTTCAGATAGTAAGTCTGCCATCTGCATTGCTCACAATCCTGTGCATCATGAGAGAACCAAACACATCGAGATAGATTGCCATATTATTCGCGAGAAAGTTCAGAGAGGCATCATCCATCTTCAGCACATCTCCTCATGTAACCAGACAGCAGATGTCCTCACCAAAGCTCTTCCATTTCCTACATTTCACAAGCTGTTGAGCAAGTTGAACATGCGCAACATCCATGTTCAACTTGAGGGGGGGTATTAGTATAGGGTTATTATTGTAAATTGTTGTTAGTTAGCTGAAATCGTGCTTTGACATATGATAGCATTTTGTGTATAAGTGCTTATGAGTGCTAGAGTATAAAAGGCATGTACATTAGGGTTAGCTAATTCATTCTGTCGATTCACATCTCAAAACACTTTTTCTCTATCAAGCTTTCCTTTGTTCTTCTTCTTCGTAATATCAGATCTATTTCATAATATGTATCGATTTTTCGTGCGTCAAAATCATTTGTGACAATTTATAGTGGCCAGAAATAGTCCAGATATATTTGGACGTTTATCCATGTCTGTCAGAACTTCTTGAATTATAAAAATATTTTAAAATAGTAAATTAAAACTTTAGTATATTATTAGTTTTTTATTTAAATTGCATTCATTGATCATACTTTCATAATTTTCAATTACATATTCATATTGTATATTACATATATATATATATATAAAAGCTAACTATATCTACGTTACAAATAAAAATTATATTAATTATGAATTCCAATATTAGAATGTGATAAAATTAATATTTATCAATATCTATCAAGCATATAATATGATGTAAATTTAAAATTTCTAAAGAGAGCGGCGGAGGATTGACTTGGAAGTTGCGGATGAAAAAAGTCAACTAACTTTCTTTAAAGACTGCGATGTCATCACACGTCATGTTTAATGGTAAGCATGTTTATGCAGCACAGCATTAAACCTTCAAATACTTTTCACAAAAATTGAAGGATGAATTTTCCATCAGTCAACTTAGGACAACTTAAATATTTTCAAGGAATTAACAAGTAAATTAGTTGTATATATCCACAACTTGTAGTTCAATTTATACTTCGTACTTCTCGAAAGTTGATTAGGAATATATAGAACTCTTGAATATTTCAATTTTGATTAGAAAGACTAAATTTAGACGTTTCATAAATATTATGCATATCTTTTGCTTCAATTTTCGCTCTTTTAACCCTATTTTTTCGCCCCTTGAATTACACTTTTTTTTTTTAAAAAAATCAATTATATAATTTTAGCTGGCTTCCTTGTAAACTACTAATTTTGGTTATTTAAGAACTTTTCGGTTAACCATTATAATTTTTTTTTTTAAATATATTATCTATCTATACATAATTGTGGGTTGTTTATATAATGTTATCTCAAAATTTTTATCTCATTTAATTTTTTAATTATAGAAACTAACTTTTACATTTGATATTAATTAAGTGTCACAATATTTTATTGACTGTTATATCATGTAATAACTACTACTTATATTAAACAATTATAAATTCACATTAATAGATTTATGGAAGTTACGTATTTATAAATTCTACGGAATTTGTTTTCTTGAAACTATTTATTTAAAAAATTAATATTATCTATCTTACTTAATTAGTCATGAATATTCCTTAAATTTGCAAAACTTGCATTATTCATTACATATATATAAAATCTCTATATTGATTTTTATATAAGTAAAATAATTTATAATTATATTATTCATAATTTTACAAAATATATTATGCCCATTACCTAATTTCTAATTTTAAATATAATATCTTAAGTTTTTCAACCACCAATTTACTTAGAGCATCTCCAATGGTGTAATGTAATTGTAGTAAATTACACTTTATATTAACAAATTTAACAATGTCTCTACTTTTAATTCTACAATGCACAATGTAATCACAAATTTAGTGACGAGTTGGACATAATTAATGTATACAATATAGAGTAGAATATGGTTTATCCACGTCATTCTCTTTCACATTCTAATCAATTAATTGAAAGATGCGAGAGAAATATTATTACCATTTTTAAAATATAAAATTATTTAATTTTTTTTTGTTTCTTACTTATAATTAATTTTCTTATTTTTTCCAAGCGGACAATATTATGTTTGATTATATTGTGCATTGTAGATAATTTTTTTAATTTAAAATTGTGAACTTAACAGATATTAATTAATTAGCGGTTGTCTACTATGCACGCTCTTGATCAATGTTACACACACAAAAATAGTCAGCATGACTAAAATAATTTATACACATATATACTTACATTGGTATCTACATTAGGATTCCATTTCAGAGCTCAATTCTCACCATATAATTGAAAAATTAAAAAATGTAGATGTAGAAACACTAACCATATCTATAAATATTCAATATATTGTAGTCCATTTTTTTATAGCTTTTTTAGATTTTCAATTAAGTATTCTTTTTTTTTTCTATAATTGTTTAGATTGTTTGAATTTTTGGCATTTATTTGGTCTACTACTATAGAGCATTTTATTTACCTAATTGCAGGTCACCTCTTCAAATCTAAAAAGTTTATATTTTACCTATTTTATTAAAAAATAAAAATATTTTAATGATTTAATTTCAATACAATCATAACTTAGTATGAAAACCATGTTTTTTTTTTGTTTCATAAATACCTATCTCAAGCGAATAAATTATCATATAATCTTTCTATTTACATGAGATAGATATCTCTAACTTGAATAAAATAACCAAAAAAGTTCAATCAAATAAAAGCTAATTATAAAACCCTACAGAAAAAACTAGACATTAACAATTTGTTTTTTTTGTTTTTTTCATCAAAATTAAACCTATAAGAAACAGGAATCCCCGTCACAACATTACAACAAAAAGTCCGCCGTCTCCGCCTTAACCACACCAACCGGCCGCCGCCCCATCAAACCACCTTTCGACCGCCCGTTCACCTTCACCGACACATTAACGATCCCGTTCTTCCCCCCACCACCGTCCATCAGCCTATAACTCAAGAAACTCAAATAATTCTCCGGCAGGTGGCCTCCGGTGAAATCCTCCACCGGAATATTCGCTGCCCCGATGGCTTGGCCGCCGGCGTGGGCTTCCACGGTTATGAAACGGGCGTTTTCCGGCAACTCCATCGTCAGTTTCTGGTTGCAAAACGGGTAGCTCCCGCCATCTCTATCGACATCAGTCGATCGGGATGTAAACGGGTCGGATCTGATGAGGACAAACGAGTTTTTCTTCACGGGTTGTTTACGGCTCGATTGCAAACCCTCGGCGGATATAACCGTGACCTCAATTGACATGGAGCCGGGTTTTTTTTCCATGACATTTAATTTGATTGAACGATTGGTTGATTAATATTATTTATTCTAGGTGAAATATTATTTTTGTTTGAGTTGGTTGAATATTTATAAGTATGTTTTTGATGTGATCATTGTGTTATGTATATAGGAATAGGAGTTATGATTTGAATTTGAATATTTTATTTTTATTTTTAGGAAGGTGAATGAGAGGAGGGATAAATAGGGTGGTATTTTGTGAATTAATTGTTAATTAGTAGAAAAGAAATAGGTGGTGTAAGTTAAACTGAAATTTCTGTTTGGGATATGTATGTACGTTGGACTATACTTTTTAATTTTTATTAAATTCAATTATTTTTCTTAGGAATTCAACTTTTTTTTTTTTTGGTAGAGAGGGGGGACGGGACAGCTCAACAAGCTACCCTACGATGGTAAGTCACGCCGACAACATCGTGCTCAAGCCACGGTTTCAAACCAGCTGGTGGGAACTCCAAGCGTTGTAAGCCACCCGGACTAGTCGCAGCTAAAGAAGCCAAGTAATCTGCCAAGAAGTTTGATTCACGGTAAACATGTCGGATACACACCCTCCAATCACGATGCAACACCTCCTTCGTGGCCCGGACTAGACTACTATGCACACTTTCGACTTCAGCCTCATTATTCACCAAATCCGCCACCACCTTACTGTCAACATCAGCTACAACTCGGCGGTACCCCAAATCCCATGCTAGCAACAAGCCCTGCAGCAGCCCCATAACTCCGCTCCCAAGATGGAGCTAAACCCGACATTCATAAGAAAGTCACCCAAGAATCGACCATTATGGTCCCGAAGTAATCCACCCGCACTTGCCATACCAGTAGAAGTGTTGAAAGTGCCATCCGAGTTACTCTTTATCCATTCCGGTCCCGACGACTAGTCTTCACAGATTGTCCAAGCTGCAAAACACTAGAACTCGCATTTTTCATTGAGGCCACATAACTACGGACTTCATGAATAGTCCTATCCACCGCAGGCTCGAGCCCATTGAAGATGTAATTATTCCGGCCATGCCACAGCCGCCACACCCCAACGCCAAAGGAACAGTCCCAGTTCTCGTCGAACTTGTCCAGCTTACTAGGAAATTCAACTTTGGCGAGTAGTAAATTTAATTTTGGCAAAACAAAATTATATATGGAATTGGACTCTGGTGAATGATGTGGCAAGTCACTTTGTCCACGTGGATAAGAAGAAAAGTAAAAAATAAAAGAAAAGAAAAATAGTATGTCACAATCGCTCTTTTTAAAATTTGTAGTTTAGTAATGAATTTGTTTTTCCTTGGCAAAAAAAACATTTTTTTTTTTTCAAATCGGATTATGCATTTGACAAAAAATGTTAATCCAAAAATTAAAATGAATCAATAAATTGAAAACGAATTTAATGTGAAATTGTGGGATGCACATTTCCTTTCACTAAAATAAAAAGAGCGAGGTAACACACTAAACCTCCCTTGCGAAAAAATACAACAGAAGAACAATATAAAACAAATTAAACAAATAAACATATTCAGCAAACCCAAAAGAAAAGAAAAAAAAAAGGAAAAAAAAAAGGAAATTCACAATCATGAAAAACCAGTCTTATCAAACAATCCTCCAACAACCCAATCAACATTTTCAAAGAAATAAAAATAAAAAATAACTACATAAAATCCTCAGAAGGCCCATTTCCTAGAAGGGTAAGACTGTCCTTTCGACGGCTCAGCCGGCAGGCCCACCTCCTCACGCTGCTCGTCGTCCGGCATCTTCGTCAGGAACGCAGTCCCCACAAAGTGCACCAATGCAGACACATCCTCGAGGTTCCTCTTCAAACTAAGAGAAGTCGACATGAATATCTTGGAGGGCATTTTCGTCATTTTCCTCACCTCGGCTCCTCCGTTCTTGCTCAGCTGCGCGTGTTTTAAAAACCTCTCCGTAGCCGCCTCCCACGAAAGCTCGTGCCTCTGCTCGTCCGTGAGTGGGTCCGGCTCGTCTTCTAGTGCCTTGCGAATTTCCCTGACAAAGCCTCCTGGGTCGTCGTACGTCCGGCAGTTGGGGAACTGCTTGAAGAACTCGTTCGAGGGGTGGTTTGCACAAATGACGATTTTGCCCATGGCCAGTGCCTCGGCTGTGGTTGTGCAAACCACGTCCGTTGTGCTCGGGTTCAAGAACACCTTATACCTGAAAAGTCCCAACAATTGTAATGTTTTCACAAATGTGATGGGGAACTTTTGTTTACTTTTGTTTTAGTCAAATTTAAAAAATGACGATTACTTTTACTTTTTTTTTTTTTTNTTTTCATATCATATCTGAGTTAACGAGTCTATACTTACTCGTGAAACAAAGGATCAGCATGATCACGTCCCGGGTGGACATTGACCGTTATCTCCAGCTTCTTTGCAGCTGCCTCAACTTGGTCAGAGTCCTCACCACTGCCATATAAGTCAACTTCAAGTCGGGTTAATTCCTTCTGGTTATCACGCAGTAGTTTAAGCAGTTCCTTGTATCCTTTGCTCCATACCATCTTCCCAATATAGTATGCACCTTTTGTAAATGCCTGGTCTCCGTTTTGCTGCTGCTCTCTTTTTTTCAAGCCTATATCGAGAAATCTCGGATTTACTCCATGGACATTGCAGATAACGGATCTAGGGAGCTCTTGAGTTGCGGCCGATAATCTTATTACCTGACCAACGTGAATATTAAACATGATCAGTAAATTTTTATTATTGCAGCTGCTCAAATTCGATATAATTATCTCGAATCTATACACTTAAACATGACATTCAAATTCAAAGCATTATTTTTCTGGTTATAGGAAAAATGTGAAATTGAAGTTGCAAGAGACGCATATTATACCCTGTGACAATATATATTGACAACCCAACTGTTGACGAACTTCAGGAAAAACGCTTGGATCTGCCCGTTTTTCTCTCTCCTCACATACTCTAGATAATTTGTGTGGACAACACCTACGACCAGTTGAAATTTAATTTTCCACCTCTTCCCATGATGATACCATGTAAGATGCTCCGGCTCTTCCAGCACAGCAACATCTGCCTCGTCATCGGGAATTATGTCCGTTATGTCGCCTAGTGCTAGAATGCTCCTTTTGTGTAAAGAAAACTGCACAGTGACAAACGTATGATAAAATATAGTTCATTAAGAAAAAACACGAGAATTTAGCTCTTGTAGGTTGTTTCTTGCTCGTTTTTCAAAGTGTTGGGACTAAAATTTCAGATACGGGACCAAAAGTGCAATTCTCCACGTAAAACTATAATTCCCAGGACTGTACATAAACATAAAGTAGTCTGACAATGAAACTAGGCAACTAACATCAAACTCCAATCAAACTAATGAAAATGACAATTGTGAAACATACAAATCTATCCCGACATCATATTCACATCAACATTCAATCAATCCAGAAAAAAACAGTAGCTAGACTTACTCTCCCAGGATAGAAACGTATAGCGAAACTCGATCTCAGATCGGTCCTTTCCTCGAGCCACCTGCGGACATACTTTTCCTGTTCGGCCGGCGAGCTAAAGGTTATATTGTTTGGGTAGACGTGCTCTTGATCCTTCAGTTTCAACCAGGGGATCACCAAGGTTACTTTCCATTCGTCGTCTTTTGCCAGGTAAGCTGCCCGGAACAGAGGGTTGACAGCAGTCCCAGTCAGCCATGGAAGGCTTGCCGTGGTAAATATCGCTATGTGTTGCTTCTTCTCCATAAATTCATGAGATTCCACGCCGGTACCCTTTTTGGAAACGGATTGCGTATATGAACCGAACGAGCTTATTATTTTCGGCAGGAAACCCAGAAATCTCCTGCCTGCATAAACAAGAGAGAAATTAAAATGAATCATCTTTATTCATCAAAATTCATGGGCCCATCAGACCAAAACAATATGACTGCGCAATTTCAAGCAGCTGAAACATCCAAATATGGAAGAGTAATTTCATCGAACACCTACAGACCAACACCAAAATCAACATTTTTCAGCATTTCACAACAGAATTTCGAGCTACACGAAGGACAATCCAAAAACACGAGCAAATCCCAGTTTCCCAACTCAATTTCTTTGTCCAACAAATCAATAAAATAGGTAGAGACCAAAATGGAAATATCGCATATACCTCAAAATCGACGATCAAAACGGAGCTAGAACATGCAAATAATCAAACCAGATAAACGGGAGCAAAGCTTACGTTCTCCGGAATATTCTCCGAACACCGGACTAAAGGAAAAAATGCGGTGGCTTTACCTGAATATATTGCTTGCAGAGAAACCTTTGTTCTGTCCTTTGTGAATAAAAATAAATAAATTGCCACAAAATTGAATATGAATATATTAATTAATTAATAATTATTTGGGGAAATAAATCAATAATAAATATTTGGAGTAGAGCTACGTGAGCTGTAAACGAGGGCAGATTCGTTTGTCGCTTTAGATTTTCGGTATTAAATAGAAGCTGTGGACGACACGCGTGAATCATGCGCGTGAAGATTCATTTATTTACGTGATGCTTGGAGGTGTTTTGTTATTGGTCCACTGTGATTGGCGCAAATAGTGAGGCAAGGAATATTCCAAGGCGCATCGGATTTTGTACAAATTTAATTACGTTTTACTATTTATTTTTTATTTTCTGGTATTGATTGGTGATAAAACCTTTATCAAATGATTTCAACGGATTATAGAGGGGCGCTTCTTTATCAAATATTTCATTCAAAATGAGTTATTTTGGTTAATTAGAGTTAATTTTGAAAAAGTTAATATGGTTAATTGTTAGTGGGATTTAATTTTGAAAAAGGTAATATGATTAATTGTTAGGGATTTTAAAAATGTATTAAAGTAATATTTAAAATAAAATAATTAAAATTAATTTGATGTAAAAGTAGGAGATAAATGATTGGAAATGATTAGAAATGATAGGTAGTTAAAAATATGTGAGTGGATGAATAGTGAATTAAAGTTGATGTGATGTGTAAGGATGATTGGTTTGTATTATTTAATTAAATGAATAATATTAAAGATAATGGGGTTGAGTTAAAGTTGAGTTAGATTTTGAGTATGAATTGGTTTAAAATGAATTAATTTGTAAACAAGCATGCCCAAGGCCAAAAGGATTAGATTGAATGGAATTATATTATTATTTTTATTATTATTATTATTATTATTATTATTATTATTATTATTATTATTATCAGAGCCGGCTTTTGGGGGAGCAGGGTGAGCAACTGCACAGGGCCCCCAATTAATTGGGGCCCCATATATAAATATTAAAATATTATATATATAATAATATAAATAAAAAATATAATAATATATAGAAAGAGCCTTTTGTGTTTTGTCTATTCGGGGGAGGTTCTTTCCTACTTGAGAAGTGGAAGTTGTTATTTATTTATTTATTGTTAATATAACTTTTACAGTATTCAAGATGGGAAATTATTATTTATTGTCCAACGAGATTTTTTAAATGACATTCATGTTAGAACATTAATCTTGTTTTTGTTGTATTTTGTGGGTACGAGGACATCTTGTTTTAGTTGTATCGTTAAATATTTATATTTTATTAATAAAATATTAAAAATATATTATTCAATATTGTAATTAGGGGGGCCTAATTTTATTTTTCGCTCTGGGCCCAAAAAATGTTGGAAACGGCCCTGATTATTATTAGACTTTTGCAGAAGACGTATTTAACTATATTGTAATTTACACAGTTGCATGTATTTTATATGTTTACAAAGAAATATATTGATAAAAATGTAATCTAAGTGGAAACTTTAAGAAAGAGGGAACGTGTTTTGAAGATGATTCTTCGAAGAAAAGATAATAATAATAATAATAATAATAATAATAATAATAATAATAATAATAATAATAATAATAATAATAAGAATTCTACTAGACAAACAAGGTATATTTCTACAAGACAAACAAGGTAATATACCATTTTTATTATTATTATTATTATTATTATTATTATTATTATTATTTATTTTTTTTTTATTTTTTTATTTTTATCGATAAAAGTAGAATTCTTAATTTTGATGATGCTATTTTGATGATATTAATTTGGCCTCCTCTCGTATGTACATTTGTATAAGCACATTTAAAACTAGACATGCATTCACATGTTTTTTTCATATAAAATATAGCTTATTAAACCTGATCTAAATGAAATACGTATCTAAATTATTTATTTAACCTTGAAACTTCATTTATTACATATATATAAAATGTTACTCTCTTCATTTTCAACTAGTACGTAACCCGTGCGATGCACGGGATGTAAAATTTAGAAGAATAATATAATTTCACGTGCATTAGGATCGAAATTGAAATCATTAAAATACATAGAAACATTGTTGAATCATAAAAAGTTCGGTAACAATCATAAATTATTAAAAACCTCCTTGTACACAACATTATGAGTTTGATTATTTGGTAACTCCTCATTATCACAAACTAATATTTTCAAGCCCCTTCTATTATTTACACGCGAAGCAGCAACATATAATTGGCCGTGACTAAAAACGGGTTTCTTCAGTAAAAGACCAACGTGCGATAAAAATATAGTTTTAAAAAAAGAATTTTTAAAAATTGAAAAGTCAAGGCAATCAGTTCAGATTAATTAAAGGTCAAAGAATATCCGCTCCTTGAAATAAAGACGTGTGCTATCATTAACCAAATATCCGGTTATTGATATAAAGTGGTTACCAAAAAATAGAACGCGATAAGGACCCTTCATGGAAATATCAATGGGATAAGGTCATAACAGATCGCTATACATTTTAACGATAAAAGTTCATATGGAATGATTTAATTAGATGTGTGAAAAAGACATAATTAATGAGAAGTATGAAAAGGATAATTAATGAGAAGTGTGATAAGGACAAAAACTTACCAGTTTTGGAAAGTATTTAATGCAAATCCGATATTGACCATAATTTGACCTACTATTTTGAATAAATATTAATTTTTATTATATAAGTATAGATTAAAAGATACTAGTACGACACTTGCGTACTACACGGGTGCATGAAAAAATAATTAGAACAAAAAAAGTAAAAAAGTTTAGTATCGTAGTATATACAAAATAAATAAATATTAGAAGAAATCTCGTTAAAAAATATAGTGTTAGAATCTTGTTACATATTCAATTGAGGATTTTGGAGTGTGAAGAAATTTATTACCATATATTAGCAAAAAATTTGAAAATATTGTTAATTATGAAATAACAGAATACAAAAAAAATTAATTATCAAATAAAACATTGGTAACTCAATTATCAAATAAAAGAAACATTAGTTGTTAATTCGACATTGATTCACTGTCAAATAAAAGATCCATTGTTAACTAAATAACATTCAAGTGATCTTTAAAATAAAAATAAAATAAAATAAGAAAAAAAAGATTTAACTGATCTTTAAATTTAAAACAAATTTGGTAATGAATAGGAGATTTATGGGAGACAATGATGTATGGTGGAGAAATTATTTATGGCACTTATATTTTACCTTATTTAACTCTTTC